TCCAAAAAAAAAAAAAAAAAAAAAGACAAGCGGGCGAACGAGGTAGCAACGTTCGCCCGCTTGTCTCTTTTTTTTTTTTTTTTTTTTTTGGAGGGTCTTTAAACTGTGGGGGTGACCCTCTGCTACGGGAACTTGTATCATTTCACTTACATCCTCCGAAGAAGGCTGGTCCACCAGCCGAAACTGTTAGGATTAAATAAATATTTTATTGTTTTGTTTCCTATACTGCACTATTCTCGAAGTTTATATATATATATATATATATATATATATATATATGCAAGTTAGCGGCAATAAATAAACTACCCCTATTCTGCACCTTACAAATTTTCCACATTCTTTTGCAAGGCAAACACCTTTTTCTTAACTTTGTCAAATTTTTTGTCCACCTTATGACAAATGCGTTGAACCTTATTTGGTGCACTAAAAACAATGTCTATACCAAAACGATTTGCTATATGCTTCAGCCTATGTGAAAACTGACCAATGTAAGGTAAAACAGCAAAGGGTTCTGGTTGCGAAGCCTTTCTTGTACACTCGTGCTCCGGACCACTCTGTAAAATTTTAATCTTTATGACTGCTCTGCTCACGAAATTTTCTGGGTATGCAGCCATTTTCATGCGGATGATTGGACGTCAAAATGCCAAATTCATGGTGGAAATGCATGACTTCAACAAGGCACTTCGTAAACAAGACACAGTGATTCCATTTTTTACAATTTTAAAATGGCCTGAGCTAGAGTTGAGCCAAAATGTTACCAAGAATGTCTTCAAACCAACCCGCCCAACTTTACATTTCATTACATGGAACAACGAGCATCCCTCAGCTTCAAGATCCACTTTGCCTCAGTGATGTTGGCTGCTGAACGGTTGGAATCGTGAAACTTCTTCAGTGCCAGCCATTCCAGGTTCAACTAAACTGCACGAAGCAGGTAAAAAAAAAAGCACGCCTGCTGCCACAGTTTATGATGACATGAGCTCATGTCAGTATAACTCATCCCCTGATGAAGGGAGGACCCCTCCCGAAATTGTTGGGAAATATATTTATCCTTGTTGACAACGCTCCCGTTGTGCCATATCCCATACATACATACATATATATATATATATATATATATATATATATATATATATATAGAGAGAGAGAGAGAGAGAGAGAGAGAAATAAATAAAATTACATGCGAAACGTGACTTCAGTGAACCAACAAGAAGTGTTTTTTAGGGTGAAACAAATGAGGTGTTTTTTTTCTCTAAAAGAGCCAAATGCAGAAACTGGAATAGGCAAAATTTCACTGGAACTTAAATATATATATATATATATATATATATATATATATATATATATATATATATATATATATATATATATATATATAGAGAGAGAGAGAGAGAGAGAGAGAGAAATAAATAAAATTACGTGCGAAACGTGACTTCAGTGAACCAACAAGAAGTGTTTCTTAGGGTGAAACAAATGGTGTTTTTTTTTTTCTAAAAGAGCCAAATGCAGAAACTGAAATAGGCAAAATTTCACTGGAACTTAAAGCATGCCTAAGAATCTTCAATTTCTAGAGGAATTATACTTAAAATGTGGCAATGCCTTATTGTAACATTAGCTCAAAAAGGCAGTTTTCAGTAAAAAATGAGCCAAGTACTCCGACCGTTTCAATAAAAGTGAGCCACATTCATTAAACCAGCACTGCTCTAACAAGCATAATCAAAACAACCAATATGGTCTCACCCAAAATGTTTCATTTGTGTCTTAGTTGCTTTGTTATCATGTATACGTTCCGCAATTCGGTTTTCTAGCCCGAGTTGGCACTTACTGAAGGACATGATGTTCAATGACAAACCTCGATTGTAAAGGATAAGAAGCTGACTTGCCTAGTTCTTTTTTCATCTTAGTGGTTCTTTTTTACTTTAGCGCAACAGCATTTAGTCCTCCATGCAACAGCATTTAGTCCTCCATCCACTCCAACACAGTATATTTGAAATAAAATAGGCATCATATAAAGATGTTGGGTGTCCAAAGAAGAAGTGATCAGAAATGGCATAGCATAAAACTAACTGGAACACTTTTCAAGGTCCAGGAACAAGACAGTTTATAATGGTGCGCCTTTTTCCAGGAAGGACCACTCGCTATTGAAGTCTAGCAATCGCCATTACGCCCATATGCCGCCATGCGTCGAAGCACTGCCCCGACGGAAGCACAAATATGTTGGTAATTCTATTGCGAAATGTTGCTATACCATACATTCGAACTGTTTTACATAGTGTGCACGTGCATCACGCAGCGCCGATTCGTCACTTTCGAAATGCGCCACCGGCCGACTTGACCGGGTACCTACTGACTCCGTGGCTGACCGCTGCCGTGTTGTTTCCTCGTGCATGCGCCCGTTCAGTTTTGCCTAACGATGCAAGTTTGAGCAATTATCAGCTGCTGGGGAGGCAAGTTGATATAGCAGTCCACTAAGAGCGAGCTGAGCGTCAGGGTGTTCTCTTTGCCGAAAGTTATTAGCTAAAATTGAGAACGCACATTGCGATTTTCTGAAAAACACCGACATGTTTGACTGGCGCATATTAACAAAAATGACTTGAAGAACCGGTGATATTTGCGTCTTCAGGTGTAACTTCATTTCGGGAAGTGCTATATCCAAGCACATACCTGCAAACAGAGATAGGTACTGTATATACAAACTAGCCCGCGTCTCCGCGACTGCTGCGTGCACCGTCAGCGTGTTAGGGAGGCGGTTAAAATTGTGAAGGCGATCGCGCCAATTCGGGTGTTGCATTAAAAAAAAAGTGAAAATGGATACGAAACGATATTCGTTCACTCGCGATTTGAAGTACAGCCGTTCGGTTCGAGTTGGAGGGTCAGGTTTTTAAAAATTGGTTGATTGATTCCCTTAGACGGTCTGAGTCATTGTCAGGGACTCTACTGTACATTAGCGCACAACAACAAAATATACAAGGTAAAAAATGAGTCAAAACCTACGCGAAGAAAAGTGACCGGCTTCAGCGCGGCACGCACCACGCAAAGTCTCTACCTTGCATATTATATTCCTTGGCTGTTTCCACAAATTCCAATCAAAGACGCTTAACATCAGCACTGTTTAAAACACTCGAGGAGCCGCACTGCTACTTAGGTGGTGTGGGCCGCAGAAATATATTAAAATTATTATTAATAATATATCTCTTCTCAACTTGCCTAGCTCTGCACGGTGACTCGTTTTCGGTGAGAGCTGTGCACTTTGCTCATCCACTTTTAAAATTGGGACTCGAGAGAGCCTGAGCTTGCACTTGTTCTTAGACCACGCAATTTGTAGTGAAAGCGAGATAATGGGACCTCGCAGATCGTGGCGGGCAGCCGGTGTACGCGGTGACTGGTAAACATGTCACACGTTTTGATTTTCCGGTCTTGTATCGAGTGAACGAGCAAGGCCGTCCTGATCAGATGAGTTCATTAAAGCACGACAACGAAAAACCGCCTGCCTTCTCTCTAAACATCGCGCACAGCAACAGATGACGAGCCTCAACAAACCGCGCTGCAGAACGCAAACTGTTGTGGGTACCCAGCGAGGTACCCGGGCATGGCGGGAGATGGCGGCAACGGCGAAAGTGACATCACATGAACACTATGAATTATGCTAACTATAGTCCAAATGAAATGTTTCAATCTATATGTGCCAAATACAAACTTTACTGCACAATACTGAGGATATTTGGCTATGTATATCTTAACCACATTATAGACCTGTGGTACTTAAGGCAGAGGAACATACAGGCAAGAAGTTGCCAATGCAGGTCCAACCATATTGTCAGTAGAAGAAAAGTGGTGCGTTTTTCTCAGTTTCATTTAAAGTGCAATTGGCTCTTTTAGAAAAGAAAAAAAAGAAAACGCCTCAAGTGTTGCGCACTTGAAAACGTCACTAGGGTCGTGACCACAGAGCAACAATAGCATAGAGAAATAAAAAAAAGGTTAAGAGCGGACACTCCCATAGACCCCAGCGGCCCAATCGACCCTAGCACACCTGGTGGTTGGTGAGAGCAAGTGGCGTGCGCTTCCTGTTTCGGTTTCACTGGCGCAAATTTTGAATTACTTTGCATAACCGACGTTTGGCTATGACGAAAGTTCATGATTTCAGACCACTATTTATCGCCCAAATAGATAGTTCTTGTAGGTCATTTTGATTTAGCGATTCCCTGTTTTGTTTTGTGGTTCGTGCGAATCGGTCGTGACGCAATTTTTATTTTGATTAAGTTATAATAAAAAGACATGCAGGTAATGATAATTCACTACGGTTTTATTCATCGCGCTTGTGTTTTTCTTTTGGAACAAGTGATCAATGTATATATCAGTCAAAGAGACAGAGTATCCGCAATGTTTTATTCAAAGGCAAGGTAGAGTCCGAGAATATAAAAAGCACAATATGACAAAGGTAGACAACAAATGCATCTCACCTTACAAATAAATTGTAACAAATATTGTAACAAATAGAGAGAGAACACAGGCAACGCACACATCGCTAGAGTTGGCAGAAGCCGCAAAGCTGGTGAAGTATGACACACCGGGCCAGTGGGTAAGTAAGGATCTATGGCAAAAACACAGCGCACAATGCTGATGAAGAAGTGACTTATACACAGCAATGAAGTCGCGAATCACGCCTGGGGTTAACCGAAATAATGCATAGAAAAAAAGAGCGCACAGAAACCACACAACACAATATAGCAGAAAGGCAAAGGTGCAGTGTGCTGGCTGTGCTTAAGAACAGCTAGCCCAAAATGAAAAAAAGCAGACTTGATGCCTGCTTGTCCTCAGAAAGGTAGGGATTTGCAGCTTGCTCACTACGTGAAAGAAACTTTACGCTACAACACTGGCAGGTCTTGTGGCTCTTCTTATGCGTCGCCTTCATCAAAAACTTAAGATCCCAAGTGATTTGCGTGTGGGTGTTGCTGTGACGCTTGCAAGCTAAAATAGATTGTAGTCATCACTTATCCAGAATTGTGGACCTTAATAGGCAATATGCAAAATTAACAGCGCCATCTAGTGAACCTCGCAGGTACCATATCCGCCATTTTTATGCTGGCGAGGCTTGACCACTACGCGCGGGCGACCATAAACTTCTGATGGCTTTTTCACACGCAACGCGCCTTTGTCTGTCTGGCAGGGCGGATGCGGGAGAGAAATTTTATTGTCTACGGTCTCCTCTTAGCTCACCACAACACCTTTGGGTGACTGGGCTTTTCGGACAGCACTCCGCCTGCGACGGAAAATGCGAGCCGGACTCCGGCTTCGTGCACGTGGGAAAATGCGACGGATGGGCAGTTAGCGAAGGAGTTACGTCGTCTGCCATCCGTTCGCGCCAGAGGCGTTGGCAACGCTTTGAATACGGCGGCGGGGACGCGCCCACGATCCAGACAGTGACGCGTGCTCTGACACGGGTCTTTATAAAACGGTGCTTTATTATGAAAGTGTCGTTTAGAAACGCAGCGGAGGATGCAATGAGCGGTCGGTGTAACTTCGAGTGGGGTATACTTAGTAGTCGAGAAGACGCGCTCCAGCCAGTCGAGTAGTGTCACTTCGCCTGGTGAACTCGCTTTGTGTTCAGTGTAGGCGGACCGTGGGTGTTTAATGCAAGCGAATAAGGGTGACATTGACATGTCCATGCCACCCTCACGTGGACTCCGCCAGTCCATGTTCTGCATGGCCATGGGATTGATGCCTTGTCGTCGGGGGTGCCTCCATTGCTGTGGCAACTCTGTGCATGAAAGCTCTGGTGGTGCCTCTTTGAAGCCCTTCTGCTTCAGCAGAAGAAGGACGCGCCGAGCCACAAGAATGTGGCTGCACGCACCACCACTCCCAGCGGGGCGCTCACAAGTAGAATCAGCCACTGCTCCACTGTCAGTTTTCAAAGCCAAGCAGACTTTGTACGGCCGGCCACTCTTCTTCTGGCTTCGGTAGCACGTGGCACGTGCATAGACAATTCCGAGACTGTAAGAACAACAACAAAAAAAAGAACTTTGTAAGCTGCACACAGTCAAGCTTGCCATCTTTTTACCGAGTGCCATATCACAAGTACGAATAAAGCTGTCGTGGCACTGGCCAAGACAGCTTTATGCAAAGCAACACGATTATGCAACTTACTCTCCACAAAGCACTGACTATGTCATTCGGGAATATCCCTGCGCAGCTTACGTTACAGTGCAAAAGTACAAAACCTGCATGAAGTGCTTCGATGTGAACAACCTCTTGTGCAACATCAGAAACACTGGTTTTTATTCACGAGTTGGAAAACCACATGCCAATAAAAATCTCCGAACCAACGTGCACCCAATGAATCAGGTTTTTAAGAAGTCTCCCTGTTAACTTACATTGGCGCTTGTGGTGGATCAGTTCCGTTCTTTCTAGCTGTCCTTGTAGACCCGTTTAGTCTAAATGTTTAGTGAACAAACTAGCGTACGTCATTTTTCATACAAAGCAGCATGCGCACTCGTAAAGGCAGCACATTAATATTAGACCAGTATTGCATATGTGCGGACGTGAAATTTGTTTGCGCAAAAAACTGTTTTCATAGTACGAGCCATGTCTTTCGAGGCATGCACGCTGAACCACCGGAACAGCTGCGAAGTTCCTATGCGACCACGTCGGCTGATTGGACATGCTAAAAATAAACGCTAAAACATAGCCTCCTCTTGCAAAACCATAATGACAAGTTATCCATGCACGCGAGCACGTGCAGTGAAAGAAACACGCAGTGACATGACCGACCTCGCCGAGAACACCCGCACGACATTAACATCGGCGGCACTATTTGTACGTTGCTCCAAAAGGACAAGCACTGCATGCTTTCAGAAACGTCGCTTACGTACCTTGTGTCACAGGCGTTGGTCACAACCGACAACGGCAAGGTGTACGCTTCCACGGCGAAGGCACAAGATTTGGTCTGCTGCTTGGATGACGTCGGAGCCTGGTTTATTAAGTCCGCTACAGTGTCATTCAATATATGTGGCGAAATTCCTAAACAGTTTGTCCACATCACATGTTCGGGCACTGGGAAACGTCTTGCTGAGGCTACCGCAGTAGCTCAGCGCAGTGAAGTAAATAAATGTTCAGGCGTCGTACGGCCGTACTAGCGAACGCGTTGCCGTCGACCGCTCGCCCACATTAAAATGGCGGCGGGGTCAAAATGCACAGTGTTGCCAGAGCACAAAGCAATTTTGCATATGGTCCATTGGTGCTACGAGAGCGATATTACAGGGCTAATAAATAGCAGAAGGAAACCACTTTGGCTCATTATTTTTCACAAAGGCTCTACATCGTACGTTATCATTCACAAGCTATATAAAAATAAAATGACAGCGTCCGCAGTCCCATCAAACGCTGCAAGTTTGGGTATTTTTTGAAAATTTTGATGGGCGAGATGAGGAAGGTTGATGAGAAGCTAAAATACAAAAAGCGTGATAACGTGAACCGTGCCCACCTCATACTGTGTTCCTTACCCGCTCGAACACATTTCAACAAGCGGTTTTGTTATCGATATATTACTTGAGCTGGAGAGATAAAGCATACACAGTGACCAAGCGAGCCACAGTAAAGTGTACAGTTCACCCGCATTTGCTACAAAAATACAGACAGGATACCCAACATTCTTTTTAAGGTTATGCAAATCACTTCGAGCGAATACACAGTTTCCCTACTCCTCATAGCGGGTAACCTAAACATGTATGCAACGAAGGAGTGGCTAGTCCAGTTGAAGCTGAATATAAGCATATAAGACCATAATGAAGTCTGCTGTAACGAAGTAATAACAAAGCTATTGCAGGATTCAGCTCAACTCGAATACTTTAGTGTAAACCCGCCGCTAATTGCTAACCTTTGAACTTGTCAAGCTGTATGCCTGAGATTGAAGACTGGAACCTAACCCTATCTAAGTTTCGGTTCACAAAACGCACATGCCAACATAAACGAACCCGGCAAAACATTTTCAGAAACTTCGCGCGACACCCAGCAGAGCAGAAATGAAAATCGCCAACACTTGACAGATGGTGATACAAAACATCGCACACTTTCAGGTGATGTGCAGTGGCCTCAATTATGGCAAGAAAGTGAGATTCAAGTTGTTGTACGTATGCAAAAGCTGCTTCTGATGGCACAGTGAGATTCCCAAAAAGTTTGGTGGGGACGTGGTATGCTTTGAGCATTGTGAAATACTGGTGGGTACCCTTAAGCGTCTCACTGTCGTCTTTCAGTAACTGTGGGCAACTGCAACCGTCACATGCATTCCGAAGGAAGTGTTTGATGAGAAAACCAGCTACATAATATGCAGCGGAGTCATCGATAATATGGGAGTGAATGTTGGTCGCAAGTTCAGAGAGATCGTCTAGAGCGGGAAAGTCGTCAGGCTGTGGCTGTGCACCACACTCCTCATTATCCACAAGAGACACACTGGTTAGGGAGAATGGCGAGAGCTGCTCCTTAAGGAGGTCATATTCATCATCCTCGACATTTCCGTATTCTGACAGCTTGAAGAGTTTTCTTATGCAGATGTGCTTCAGGCCACAAATAAATTGTGCTACATTGGGGTTGGTGTTGCAACCCTGTTTTTGCCTAATGCGGCCAAATATGTTCTCCAGAGGATCCTGTTGAAGCCTGCGTGTTAACAGGTATTCAAAATTGTAATTTTTGGAGAGGTCGTCCCATAGTTGACAAATTGCCTGAATTGTAATTTGCCAACCTACGATGGTTTGTGGTTGACGTCTGCCAACAAACTGCCATGATGCAATCCAGGGAAGCTGGCCTCGGAGGGAGTCAATCAGCTCTGAATAATTTTTCATGATTGCATGCCGCAGCTTTTGCGAAGTTCTTTTTTTACTCGAGCTGTTCAAGGCATCGAAAATCCTGTCCATACGATCACAAAATTGAGCTGTAGTGATGGCCGAGGCAGGCAGCACCTTCGCATACACCATTGCCGTGATAGCAATCGAAACTGATGCACTGAGGACCTGAGTTGCTTTGCTGACCTTCATATTAGAAAAAGGTTTCTGATGAACCTGCCGTTCAGTGAACTTTGGAGCCAATCCCAACCGCAACTCATGTGAGGATTGGTAAAGGCTTACAATGTGCGACCAGTTAACGATGTCATCCCCAATGTATAACTTGTGAGCTTGGACATTATTGCGCGTTGTTTTAATTAAAAGCGGAACATCGAAAATGTAATATACCCGCTCACCATTAACTTCAAAAAAAGGCTTTGCTACAGTCACTCTTAGTTGGTTAGCGAGACTTACATTTGAACTGCCCTGGTCACAAATGACTGCTTTCACTGCAATATTAATGCTCCTAAGCTCCAAAATGAGTGACACCAGCAAGTTATGCATAACAGATGATGGTATTGATGTGTGCCCTATAGTAAAAGCAACCGGTTGAACCCACTTTCTCGAAACGCCAACAAGAAGAAAAACCAGTGCTCGATCAGCGATGGTTGAAGTGCGATGAGTGCCATCATCTGTAAAACCCTGGACAACGTCTCTTGCAGCATCATAGTACAAATTCTTTTTGAGTGCTATTTCGTCGAAAACTAAAGCGCCCACTCGGTCCCGTTCATTCCAAGCTTGAGTATTTGTTGCAATGAAAGAAAGGATTCCTGGAATTATGCCTGGAGTCATCTTTACATTAGCTAGCCACCTCCTTAATGAACGCCGGGAGGGCAAAGAAAAATATGGAGCCAGAAATCGGTATGCTCGCGGACCTCGGAAGTTTAAGTGAAGAGCAAATTTCTTGAACCACACGGGAAACCGCTTGCCCTTGCATTTGGGCCTCAAGCGAACATGTGCAGAAAGAAGTTTAAAAACCTCCTCGGTGACGTGCGGTCGGATAACTTCAAGGGCCTTTGAAGTCGATGACGGTGCTTGGTGAGGCTGTCTCCGCAGTCTTTTGATAGTTTTCCGCTGTGCTGCTACTTTGGCTTGCAGATGTTTAATGGTTTGCTTGTACTTCATTGATGGAGACATTGTCGCTGGCACACAGGAACGCACTGCAATAAACAAAAAAATGGATGTAAAAGCGAAGAACAACTAATCCCATACGAGCACTTTCCTCGCTCTTTCAGACCCAAGGTGCACAACTTTCTGTGGTGCAAAGTTTTCGATTCCACTACCTAAAAACAAACCATTCACAATGTTGACAATGCACAAAAAAATGAAAATCACTGAGAGCCCACTCTTACATTTTGTAAGTGCACACGTAGTGTCCTTTTGAGGATAGTTTCCTCAGAATGTCCTAAACATAAAATAGCACATTAAAAACAGCTGCAATAAAAGCATAGTCACCATTTTCTCTAGGGCACTCAGGCGTGGAGCTGTTGGCGAAGACGTCTTCTGGAGGGTCTTGTGAAGCTTGTTCAGTGCCTCGGAAAGTGCTGTCGGAACAATCTTGCGAGCGGCCTGCGGAAGTCTCTATATCAATCCACTCTGGTGTTGAAGTGAACATACAACTTACCGGTCACACAAGTTCCGTTTGTGACAGCTGAACGACTGGTTAAGGTTTTCTCCGGCAAGACGAAGTCAGCAGAAATTCTTTCACCAGCTAGAAGGGAGCTGCCATCTGCAGAGGTTTGGTCAACAGTCAATTTGGGTAAAAAAAAAAAAGAAATCGCGACACTGAACGCACCCTGTTCATCGGGGCACCTCAATGTGTGGGAGCCGCTTTTTGAAGCCTCATGTGTCAGTAAGAGGCTTAAAATTACACAAACTGAAGCTCATCCGCACCTTGCAGTGCAGCTTCTGCAGCCATGTCACAGTCACTACTTGAAGCGACGCTCAGAGAACCTGCATATATGTGCAGTTGGTACAAGTTACAAAGCTTGTAGCATGGGGAAACTTAAACAGCTCTTTCAAACGCATAAATTGGTCGAACGTGGAAGAAAAGAGAAGGCACCAACTAGAAAACAAGTAATTTGTGATTTTTGGAATTATCAACAATGCCAGCTTTCACTGATGAAAGGTATACGTACATGTGCACTCAGGCTTGAAGATAATGTGAAATAGCCCTTTAAAGTCTTTCAAAACAAGTTGCGCAGGTCAAGAGCATCAAAAAACGACAGAAATGTAAAGCTGCTGTTAGGAAGGTAATAGCCCACAATTCACAAATTTTAAGACTTTCCAAGAGTTACTTCTATAGTGAGGTTTTTCCATCGGCTACAAAGATCTTCACGGTTAAGCTGGTTGCACACTGGGAACAGCCATTCTTGTAAGCCTTGTGTGCCCAGGGTCCATGAAACTTTGAGCAGTAAAATGGTCGCTACAAACCCTGTACGTTGCGTACAATAGGCTGGCCGGCTTACTAAGGAGATCATCGCGTCCAGCATACTGCATCCATGCTTTCATCCTGCATTGGCAATGAACTATCAGCTGAAAGGGGAAGTGCTTGAATAGTGATTTTTTATTGTTACCCTCACTGAGCAAGTAGGAACAGTAAGCCTAAAGACATGCAAACCATACAAAAGCTTTAACACACCTGCCGTCCCGTGGTATGCGGAAGAAACTCGTCCCAGGCTTCTTGTGGGTTCTGCCATTGTTGAAGCTACACGATACACAGCAGTAGCTGCCGTAGCTTGGACCGCCGGACGGCATCGCATCAGCGCGGTCTGAAAATGTTAGTAAGTGGATGCTTCGCTGTCAAATTACGAAAAAGATATGTGCATGTCATAAGTGTACCAGCAAACCCCTTTAATGATTAGCTAATCGATGCACAATACAAAACCAGTGATACATCTCTGACCCATAAAACTGACTTACAAAGATAGACGTCAAGACCACGTACAAAGATCTTCAGAAGTTTCCAGGCCGCTATCCCTTGTAATGCAATGGTATCGCGGCCTGGGAACTTTAGAACACCTTCGCGCGTACGCAGTATCAGCAGTAAATTGGGAAGAAAAATCGTAGTTGAATTTGTGCGGTAAAATTATATTGGAAACGTCAAAAAAATTGTGGGCAGCTTGCACTAGTGGCACAAGGATAGCGAAGAAACGATGATGGCCACTTGGCTAGTCCAGATTTACCTCCGGCACACCAAGAATTATTCGTGTTCCGTGCCTTCGGGAAACGCGTTGTGAAGCTTGCGAGGCCCAGCGAACGCTTCTCAATATTTTGCACCGAGCCTATGACCTAGCTGGCCAGCTATGCTCAGCGCACAGACGCTCGCGTCCGTGGCAGACGCAGCACGCGTCGCCTTTGCTATACTGCATACGTTGCACAATGTTCCCGTCTAGCCGCCGCATAGAGCCGCAAACTTTCTTTTTAGCGAACCTCCCCGTCCTTACAAGCTTCAGAAAAAGGTTACAACTGCGTGAATGAGACGCCACGTAAGAAACAACAAACTCGCACACACGAAGCGCAACGTGTGTGTGTGCATCTTTCTATGATTGTTGCATATAGTGTCTTATTCGCGCAGGTGCAACCGTTTTCTGAAAAAATGACCCAACAAGCCCAACAACATGTCATTCAACAAGCTTCGCTTGAAAACGTGCCTCACCTGTTATCTCACGCACGAAAACGCCGACGTTGACGAAAGCGACGAAAGCTTCCCGCTGTCAGTCATGCATGGGTTTGTCGCTGGGTGGGTGGTGTTTATGACAGTACGGCTGAAGAAAAATAATCGCGTAAAGTGTGTTGAATAAATTGTTTTTATGTATAAAAAACATACCTAATTTGGGCGTATAATTATTATTTTGTAAAAACAATTCTGTTGTATTGATTATAACTGTTTTTTTTTTTGCGCTTGCGCTCTCTGACGTTTGGTGAGAGCACTAGTTCGTTACGTAGTCATGACGCACTTCCTGAAGCCAGGTTTCGCGGAGTGTCCTCTCTTGTCTTTTCCTTTCTCTATGACAATAGTTGTATGACGTCACACCGAACCATTACCGAAGTTTGCCCGCCATTCTCCACCGCGAGATCTGTGCAGTACCCGCCGCAGTGTGTCTGTTCGCGGATCGGGGGCGGCCGTTTGGAGTGTGTATCCGTTTTCTCAACCCGACGGCTGGCAGTAAAGCTGCTTCGACATCAGCGACAGCGCCGACGCTTTAAGCACAATGTCCGACGCAAACCAGGTGAGGTAGAACAAGAACACGGCCCCAAGTGGGGCGAAAGTCGTCGCGATTCTAAAGCCCGTCATACTTCCATTTGTCAGGACCCCAAGCCCGAAGGCGACTGCGAATACATCAAATTGAAGGTGGTAGGCCAGGTGAGTGGATTAAAAACTTCGTAGTGCGCAAGCTGACCTATAAGCCTAACTGCGCGTTGAATGACTCTCCGCGCGCTAAACGTGCCGCGCTCGATGTCGGAGCCTCGTGGTTGGTTAGTCATAAAAGCGCCCGTGGACACTTGTGCCGGCCGTCTACGGCGCAGACTGCATGAAATGGGCAGGAAAATTTCGAACCTAGCCGTTGCCCAGGTAGTCCCAGGCACATTGCTGATTAGTTCTCGGCTCCCTTGTCAGTTCTCCACCGTAACCGTTGAAAGGTTTCTCTCCACGGAAAGAAAGAACTTACGCACAGTCGAACTCAAGTCGCCGATGTCGCTCGGTGGAATTCGAATTTGTGCACATGCTTCTATTTATTATTTGCGAATGTTGTTAGCTCATTACAAAGCTTATACTGTCGTGTGTGTCGACACGTTCGTTCAAAAAAAAAAAAAAAAGACAGGCGGCAAGAACGAAGTACAGGCGTAACAAGCCCCCGATAAGTAAATTCCTGCAGGTATAACACGTCTATCTGTTTAATTATGGAGATGGGCCGTTTCACTGGTCAACAACTTCACGAATAGACAAAGCTCAAGATTGCCGACATTTATTGTGATAAAATAATGTACTAGCACAGCTGATGTGGGCATAATTGCAACTAGGTGGAACCCAAATCATATTTTCTTGTTGCATGGTGGGCGCTCCTGAAATTCCCTGCCTCTTGGGAAACATAACTGACTTGTTGTAAACACTCGCCGAAATATATTTTGTTAATGAACACTCCGCTGTCATTAGAGGACGTCAGTCTTGCAGAATAAGCTGCGTCAACACTCAGTATCTGCATCCTTGAGCACGTCACCAAGAATGTACTGCTTAAATAATGCATTGGCATGTGTGACAGTTCGGTGTTGGGTAGATTCTTATTTACAGTAGCAGTGCATATTTAGTTTCTAGCTTTCTTCATCAGCGTGTAATATCAGTATGTTGTATCGCAAAAAAAAGCTAATGAAGTCATTCTTCAGTGGTAACGCACGTTGCCATGTGCCATTGATACAACCAAGAGTATTTCTTTAAATGGTCTTTGAGGACTGGTGTGCATTTTGAAGCCCCCCAATGGATCAGTAAGCATGATATATGCCTCTAATTAGGGGCATCATGCCGTCTTGCTAAATGAACTCAACGTCTCTCATCTTGGTGTATCAGGTCATTCTTGCTCGACCTCTTTTATGGCTCTTGCTTTAGCTGTGCTTGAGTGTTTCAGAATTGGAATGACGCACGTAGCACAATTGTTCATTTTGCTGTTGCTGTTAATGCCTCGCATGCGGGTTAGGTACAATGCTGTGTGGCGTTAGGTACGACTTGTATACATTCAACTTGCGTAGCACTGTATTACATTCCAAATCGCTCCACACGTCTTTTTCCCTCTTACATGTATCTTGCACTTAGCGTTTAGTTCCAGTATATGGGTATGAGCATATGCAACCATAAGTTGGCAAAGTAATAGGAGATCATTTAAACTCACTGGACTTTTTTCTTGACGAGACGAACTCAGGCTTGAACTCTCCAACGTATTACTAAGCCAAGCTCGCTCAGACTCACTGCTTCACCTTAGTCAGTAGACTAATGACTCCGTTATTGTAGACTTAGCCTTTTTAGTTTTGGTGTCAATTTTCTTTGACAATGATATTTCACATAGTCTGTACTCTATATGATAGGCCTTTATATCTTGTACCTTCAAATACTAGTTATCACATGTTTCAATCCACTAAAGACATGATTACAAAAGTCGCACGAGATATTTTTTACAATGGCTTTCCCCGATAGAGTTTGGCGAAGAAAATCATTACACCTGCCAACGTTGCACCTCAGATCAACAAATATCTGGTGACACATTGTTGAGGAATCTGAGAAAATATTTGAGCATAAAATTAAGTTGATATAACACTGACAATAATGCTCGATATGAGTAGCTAAGATCGTAGGTCTGCAATTAAGGAAACATGTGGTTCGAAAAAGAAAGAAAAACCGTTGTGTTAATCTGTAGCCTGGTGTAATTAAAGTTTTGCTGCACATAAAAGCTTTTATGCTGATCTCAAATATGTAATTACATTTATAATAAGTTGCACAGTTTTTGTGCCATGACAAAGCGTAAAGTATACTTCGTTTTAAACAAACATTTTATGCAGTGAGCTTTTATGGTTCTGAGCTATTATAGGCTCATACTCTTCCAAAATAACTTAAAAAAGTGCATATAAAACATTTGAGCGGACAAGAAAAATTTCAGTGCTCGAATTTTTAGAATGCTCACCCCTTACTCCGTTATTTCAGAGCTTTGTCCGGACTGCCACAATCACAGTGATTTTAACCACATGCTCTTGATGAGCCCCTTTTTACAGGGAAAAAATGATGAATTTTCCGAAAATAATTTTCATTTAATGCTCACAAGTCCGGTTCTCATACAACTCAAGGCTGTCCAGAATGCCCACGATGCGGCGATGAGGCTAGGTCTCCCCGTCCCTACGTGGAAGGGGTCCGCGATCCTACCCCTATAAAGCGGGGGTGGAATCCTTCAGGACCCCAATAAAAGTTTTTCATCCATCCATTAGCCCATACTAATTGCTTACTTCAGGGTCGTATTAATTAGTGGTATCAAGTTGTGAAGGAGAGATGCTCGCACCCTTCACATGCTAAGGAATAAGTGTGTGAAATTTAATCCCCATCAGGCTATCAGAAGTACTAAAACATGTCTAAACTCAAGGTGTAAGCGAAATCTCATCTGTGTGGAAACGATGTTTTTTAAGATGGTTTCTTCGATCATGAGATCTGCCGCGGTGGAGCAGTGCTTATGGTGCTCGGCCGCCGACACGAAAGTCAGGGGTTGATCATGGCTGCGGTGGTCACAATTTAATGGAGCGGAATGGAGGAGGCCTGCGTACTCTGTGATGTCTGTGCATGTTAACAAACACCACATGGTCCGAATTTCCGGATCCCTCTACTAAGGTGTTTCTCATAATAATATTGTGGTTTTGGGACGTAAAGCCCCTGATAATGTGGTTTCTTCCATCATGAGAGCTTGCCAGTCATTGTTATTTTGAGCATGTTGCTTTAGAGACATGGACCTCGTCATGTGAAATGAAATGGCAAGCAGCCAGGGGACTTTATTTAGACAGTGAGCTCTTTTTAGTTTTTAATAGCCACCTTGTGCTCTTTTAAACTGATTTTAACATACTTTGAATTTAAGTTACAGTGTTCAGTTTTTTTGTCATGAAAGTAGAGAAGCTAAACTTGTGAAAGCAAATGAAAACGAAAATGATGTAATAAAGAAAAACGAATTTTTCGACTCGCATCTCTTATTATAGGTCGAGCTCCTCGTACTCACTCACCACATAAATGTTGGGCTGAAAGCTCACTCATACTTGCCAATATTTATCTCAACCAGACTTGCCTGGACTCTAACTCGCCAAAATATTCTCAGCCGAACTTGCGGGCCATTCAGTGTTTGAGTGAGTCGAACTTGCGAGCTTGCCGACCTATAATTGCAACATGATGGTTTCTACAACAAAGCAATGATTTGAAGTTAGCAGTTCCTCTGCTTTGGACTATGCCTTATTCACTTTTTAGACTTCCTAGTCTACTCACTTTGACACTGCAGCAAGTGTTGGTTAACGTTTTTATGCTACAGCCTGTGAATGCTACTAGTAGCAGAGGCTCAAAATAATGTTGGATGTTTTGGTTCATCGATGTATTTCTTACCCATTAAAGTCAAGGTCCATATCCAGAATTGTGAGAACATCTGTTAAGATTTCTTCTTTCAATAAGTTGCAATGTGAACAGCTTTCTTCTCATTAATATGCTTCTCTCACGCATGTCACTTCCTAGAATGTCGTTGCTCTAGCTAATACTACTGTTCTCAGTAGCAGCTGTAAACCTTCCAATTGTGGAAAGGAATGACTGAGTAAACAGACTTATCTTTGTTGGCTCGTGTGTTGAAGGGGTACTGACACAAAATTTCGCAGACGAGATAGCATGTGGGGTCGATTCCCGTGAACATTCGCATATCATCTGCAAAATATCTACAGCGAATATAGTGTGAAAGGTATTTCATAGATAATTTTGAAGCTTGCGTAAGCGCCTGACTCCATCATGCCATTGACATCCTCGAATGGGGACCCCCTACTACGCTCAGGTCACCACGCTGCAGTCAGTGAAATAAATTATGACATCGCCTATTTTTTTCTTTTGCCATGTTTATTCTCACAGTCTACACTTCTCCGTGGCTGGTCACGAGTGCGCGGTCAGTGGCACATGCTTTTAAAGTTTTGTTTGGAGACACTGCAGTACAGTTTCCTAATCGAAAGCAATGCTTGATGCGGACCGTGCGGAAGTGTCACAGTCCTGGGTGCTGATGTGGTTGAGAACTGCACAAGCTAGGTGGCAACAGTTACACCCGGTGGCTTCTCGTTTTCGGAGTACTCTCAAACTGAAACTGGTCGATAATGAGGGGCCTATAATTAATTATCTGTCACGTGTTGTAGCAAGTGATGTGTCATGTTATGACTAACTAGCCCCAGCAACACATTGCAGCACAAAAACGTGAAGCCCAAGTTTTTGGGTCAGTACCTCTTTAAGTCGATAATGAGGGGCCTATAATTAATTATCTGTCACGTGCTGTAGCAAGTGATGTGTCATGTTATGACTAACTAGCCCCCAGCAACACATTGCAGCACAAAAACGTGAAGCCCAAGTTTTTGGGTCAGTACCCCTTTAAGTCATCTGTAGCCTTCTTACTTGTGTGTAAAAAAAAAAGTGTTCAGGGGATGAGATGATGTCTTTTAAGCAATGAAACAATGTTTTCCAGTGTTACAGTGCATCCATTGGAAATACATGCCAGCTGACTGTTATGATCTGAAATATTGTAGAATTTTCTTCTGAAATCAAACTAGTTTTCAGTGTTTGTACAGTGTAACCGACCACCAACTGCTACCACACTAGTTCTGACACAGGCTGACGTACGTACAGCGAGAGTAGTGTCATTGAGATGGTTGAGAGATTGATGCCAGTAAGGTGAACTTCACTGCGATGAAGTGGCCAGAGAACTTGTGTCTATTATGGCTGCTTGCGACTCTTTCAACATTCAGTAGTTGGGTGCAATTTAAAGGGCCAGAAAAGAACCTTGGCATTAAACATTTGTGATAAAGAGATAACTCCATACTGTTACGATGCTGTTGCAAGAATTTTGCTGTCGTAATAAAGAGGAGGAGCTTAAAAAAGAAACCTGCGTTTTTTGCTCAACTACAATGTCTTTCTCCTCCACCGAGCGGAGTAGGTGTGGCCTATGACTATGCACACGCCTTGGCACTGTAACACAACATCAGCTGTTGCGCAAGGTTACGAACAATAGTGCATTTACCCTATTTTTCCGGCAGCGTAAGGTGTACGGCGGTAATGATATTCTTATCAGGCGTAGGGTGATTTCCCTCTTTAGCTCATGATCAATCAGTATAAAATATAGACGACTGGCACAAGATTTCTAAGTGTGACATTCCTAGATGAAGCAAAAAAAATAAATCATTCTTTGAATAAAATCGGAAAATTTTCAATACGCACATCACCAGCATAAAGCAAAGACCAAAGGTAATGCGTCCCACATTTCTGCGCGAGCATTGTTTTTTGCAGCAGATGTTTTTCTTTTTTTCCCTCCCCTATCAGCCGTCTATGATTTGATTGTTACGTGGGGAAGCTTTCGAATTCCGCAGTGGCAGTTGGTTTCAGTTATAAAGGTGAAAGTTTTAAATACTTCATTGAATGCAAAATCTAACCGGACAATGCGAGCAATGCAAAAAAAAAAATCAGTGCATGATTAGGCACCTCGTTACGTCAGCTTGACGTCAGCATATTGCCAGAATTGGCAATGCCATCATGAAGTCATAGTGATGACATCACTAAGGTGACGTCAAATTATGTCATAACATTGCATTAATCATAACATGGTCATGGTGGACCGACTCCAGAGGTGTTAGGTGTAGAAAACTTGCAATGTCTTTGATCCAGGAGGCAGTGCAAAATTATGGAAGATACAGAAATATATCAGGGGGGGGGGGGGGGGAGATCATTACAGTCAATAGTTAGTTTTGTCAACTGTGAGTCGTATGTGTGTGGGAAGGGTGTTATCTCAACGCTCCTCCCATAAGACACTTTCTCTTCTCATCAGCAGTCTTTTGTGGTCCTTTGTCTCTTTTTGAAACTGCTTTTCAAGCCAATGTTCAAAGTTGCTACTGATTACAGCGACCTTACACGTCTGTATGTCATGCAGTGAAGTACGTACATTATTATTGTTATGTTGCATTCTTTTTAAGCTTAGGATAAAATGTTGGGCAATGAAAAATATTGATTAGGGTAATTGAAGCCGTAGTGTTAGGTATATTTCACTAATTGGTTGGCAACACTGTCATCGGGTCATTGGCTGGCAAGCACAGGCAGAGTAAACCTTTCTGCACATGTTGTTTGAATTGGGTGGCAGTGTGGCATGATGAGAAACTGTGACGTGAGGTACTGACGAGATAAATAATGTGTTACAAGTGCAATTTATATTGAACTTTAGAAGTGTGGCAGCTTTGGCTGGTTGGTAGGACATGACGATAGTTATAGTGCGAGAACAGAACGATCAAACAGAGTCATTCGTGTCCTTCTTGTCTGTTTCGTCGTTCTATTCTCGTGCTATAACTATCCTCATATTGCATGTTAGGAGTCTACAAGCTCTGTGCTGAACATCGTCCAAGGGCAATGTCCTATCACTTGGCAAGCAAAGAGGACTGCATGCGGTCCTGGAGAGGGGTGTGGGATTTTTTTATTAGTGTTGATATTCCTTGGAGCAGCTGTGCAGCACACAACACTGTGGTATCTGTAAAATGGTATTGCTGTGGTGTTCTGCATAAATTGGTAACCTAGTTAGTGAGATATAAATATGTCGAAGCCGATTTAGTGGCCTTTTAAGAGGGCAGGAGATTCCCTGCCTAGATGCGATTGCCTGTCAACTGAAGGAATATAGTCCTACTCGTGTTACAGATGGCATGTATTGCACATAATAATAATAATAATAATAATAATAATAATAATAAAGTTTATTTGCCATCTTTGTGAGATACACATGGGAGATTATAGAAAAAAAGCAGTCTCTGGCTCGCAACTTTAATATAAAGTGCACACCCATTGGTGCGGGCTCGTATTCATCTTATTTCTTATTTGACAGCACTGCTGGCTCCAAACGAGTCATTGCAGAGTAGTCAACAATCATTAGTTACAGACAAAATTATTTTATTAGCATGAAAGGTCGAAAACACGAAGTAAAGCAACAAAATCCATATATGTGCCCTACAAAAAATAATGAAAAACATACAAGACAAAGGCAGTGACCTTCAGACAATTTTCTTATGTTCATCCAGGCAATTCATCTGCCTTCCTAAGTTGTGTTTGACAACAAGTAACTCAAAGTGGACCACAGGTATTTGGATGTTTTTTCTCTGTATGAGTGGTAATATATCCCACAAAAGGTGCATGCTCACCGATATTTGAAAATAATTGTACTTCCTCTTCTCTGTCCGTGTGGCATTTGTAGATCTTAAGTTTACGTATTAGCAAATAAGCCTGTGTAGCCCTGTCGCGGTGGTCTAGTGGCTAAGGTACCGGCTGCTGACCCGGAGGTCGCAGGATCATATCGCGGCTGCATTTTTGATGAAAGTGAAAATTCCTTAGGCTGGTGTGCTGAGATTTGGGCGCACGGTAAAGAACCCCAGGTGGTCAAAATTCTCGAAGTCCTCCACTATGGTGTCTCTCATAATCGTATGGTGGTTTTGGGACGTTAAACCCCATGTATCAATCACTCAATAAGCGTGTGTTAGCTGGCCCTTCTGTTTGACAGCATCTGCTTTCTTACACGCATGCTGCCGTGTATTGTCCACGTCGCAGCCATTTAGTATCTCCTATAGTGGATGGCAAGCAAAATGATTGACACTCGAGAAAGAAGTGAAGCTGTGAAAACTTTAAAAATTGTTGACTGATAACTCAATGAGATTGACTGGGCAGCCAATTTGTGCAGTCGAGGTGGGCACTGATTTGTGAATGTCACGTGTGCCGCAGCAGCCATCTGATGTGTGACTGTATTTTGCAGGACGGCAACGAGATCCACTTTAAGGTGAAGATGACCACGCAAATGGGGAAATTGAAGAAAAGTTACAGTGAGAGAGTTGTGAGTAGGATTGTCGGCACAAGGCTGACACTTTTTCTATTGTTGCTGTGGATTGAAAAGCTGGCTAGTTATGCATTGTTTTTTGAGGGGGCTTGCTCTCATGATTCTAAATTATCAGCAAGTTAATTCAACTTTCACTAACTCGGAAAACCAGGTAATTTCGGACGTGTTCTCTGGTTTCAATCTGCGTGTACAGGCAACCTCAAAAGATGTGAACCACACGAATGCGTGCCAAACTGCCTGTTCGCGCCGCAGTGCGAGGCCGTAAATGGCTTTTTCTGTTATTCACTGGCCTTTCAATTTACTGCTGCCGTATAGCGACGCACTCGCGTAGTCTAAATTTTTTGGCCGACTGTACATTATTCAATGGCTCCAAACTGATTAATTCAGTCATTATTTGACCTTGTATGAATTAATTGGAATATCCTCAGGGAGTGGCGACTGCTGAGTGTCGCAAATGGGTGGCGCACAGGAACAAAAAATGGTGTTCGTGGACAGTAGGAATGGCCACAGGCTTTCAGAAAGTCATTGTTGGCACCCACAATGGCATTTTTGGTGCGCAATAATGCATGGGTTCAGAGCAGGTTTTGTGCACTGAGATCTTGAACTGCCCAAGTTCACTGCATTGTGAACGAAGTCACGAATGACAAATATAAAATATACTTTGGCTTTCACACCGTTCATATGCACAATAATCACTGGATTTATATATTTCTCAATAAAATGCAAGTGCGTAGATATAATTGATACTTTTGATAATTCACCATTCAATTAGTTTGGACTGTTTTTCTGGTATTCTGAAAGGGCGTTAAGAAATGTTTACCAGAATATAGACTTTCTAGTCTAGAAATGCATTAAAAGGATTGTCTTGCCAGAATATAAATGGGGAGTACGTTTATAAATCATACTGTTGAGCATGATGCATGGACACCCTCTCCCAGAAAGAAAAGGCAAAATCTGCCTTATGAAACCGAGGCTAGGGATTGTGCTTATTAAAATCATCTGAGAAAACCTGGAATAACTATGGAATTTGTAGTAAAAGTATTGGTATACACCCTGGGAGAAACAAACTAAAAAAAAATGGCTAAACTCTGTCACGGTGGTCTAGTGGTGCAGGCACTCGGCTGCTGATGCGCAGGTCGCGGGATCTAATCCCGGCTGTGGCCGCTGCATTTTCAATGGAGGTGGAAATGCTGTAGGCCCGTGTGCTCAGATTCGGGTGCTCGTTAAAGACCTTCAGGTGGTTGAACTTTCAGAGCCCTCCATTACAGCGTCCCATCATCATGTGGTGGTTTTGAAAATTGGCTGATCAATTTTTGCTTTCAGAAAAGATGCAACAGCCATGTTAATTGGGCCAGTTGAATGGAATTATTTATGTGCCATGCTCTGCCAAAATGACCAACTATCCGCAAAATTTTTCTCAGATGTGCTAATTTTAGCATGAATGGAAGGCTATATTGGCTACCTGCAGTCTTGGCATGGATCATTGCGTCTCTCATAATCATATGGTGGTTTTGGGACGTTAAACCCCACATATCAATCAATGGCATGGATCATTGCAGTCCATTCATGGAGAAAAGATGTAGGCATGCTCAGTTCAGGGTGCCCCAGCATTTGCTCCGCTTATGCCACTTGTTGCACTGTTGTACTTGAACCTTCCACATTTAAAGTGAAAGCTTCGCCTAGAAACTGGTGACACCTTGTCGTCGGTGTATTCAATAGTTTAATTGGTGTTACCTTTCCTGCACAAACTGTCAAAATTCGATTGTACAGGCATGGCACTGAATATCTCGAAAAGCAGCTTAAGTGCCACCTTGAAAAGAAGCAACCCACAGCAGTTCTAAGATTTTTCGTCATGTTCTACCACTTGCAGAATCCTTTTAAAATCACTTTCACAACTCTATATTGGGGACTTGGCATAAAGCTTACAGAGATTGGGAAGGAGCTGCTGGCTGTCACAGGTCCCGGCACACTTTGTGTCTTGATTATGTACGCATGCAAGTATGATCGACTGAGAAAAACAAGAACACGTCTTTGGACCTTTCAGTTGTCTTAGCTGAATGCATAAAAGATCGTGTGGCCCATTTTCGCTTACTAGTTTATCTACATGTTACAGTTTGCAGTCAGTGTGCTGGTGCCTTATGGATGCTATGTTTTTCAGTGCCATTTGATTCTTTTTCTTTTTTCCTCCAATTTTCTGCAGGCGATGTCGGTGTCCTCCCTCCGCTTCTTGTTTGATGGCAAGCGCATCAGTGATGACGAGACGCCGAAGCAGGTGAGATGATGGTGCTCGTCGCTAATTATGAAGAATGTGCTGTACATAAACGGCATAGAATTGAGTTGAGTGTGAACAAGATGATGAGGATTATGTCAAGTTTGATGTGATGCCATGCCTACTAAGTCCTCTGCACAGCGATTGCATGACATGCGTAAGGCTGGAAGAAATGAGATCTAGGACACTTGATTTTGAGTGTAAGCGAAACTATCTCTGCCTGTTCCTTTGTTCGCATTTTGATGGAAGCAGAAGGCTAGAGGCTCGTGTACTCACTGCATTGCATGAAGTTGATGCATGTTTGAGAACTCCAGATGAGCGAAATTTCCAGTGCCTATGCCGTCGCCCATAATCATGTTGTGGTTTTGAAGTGTGAAAAATGAGGCAAGTTGCCGAGACATAATTGAACATAAGAACAGTGCAACAAAGTCTGATGAAGGTAACAAATACAGCGCTGACTTCCAACAAAGATTTAATAGAGGAAGTATTGTATATATATGGGAGAGAAAGGTAGGCACAAAGTAGAAGGGTGCAGTAACAGTCATTGTGATAACAATACCAGCATAAATTCTCGTCACTTCGTGATTGAACAGGAAGCTAGTACACAACTTAAAATTGGTCAACACACGTAATATTTTTGCAGTGGAGCAATTGAACAGAAACTTGCGCATGCGCTGTCAGACATTTATGAGATAAGCCTGGATGGTTTCACACATGGCCTGCGCGCAGTGCTTGCCTGTTATATTGCAGCGCTTAAAGAGGACGTATCGGAATTCGGTGCCGTGACTGTGGCTTCATGACCCTCTTTGAGCATTTCAATGTAATGCGCAAGCACCAATCACTAGGCCGCACACAAGGTCGTTCAGGCTTATTACATGAGAAAGTTCGACAGCGCATGCGTATATTTCCCTTCAACCACACTGTTGCAAAAAGAGATTGCTATCTTGACCAATTTTAAGTTGTGTACTAGCTTCCTGTTCAGTCAACAAGTGACGAGAGTTTATGGTGGTATTGTTATTGGCCGTTATTGTTACTGCACCCTTCTGTGCATGCCTACCCATCTTTCATGTGTGTGTGTGTGTGCACGTGCGTGTGTGTGTACAGCCGGCCAAATCATTACTATCGTGAGCACCGGTGACTTTTCTTGACTACTCTGTGCGTTAGTGCCATACGACAGAGTCAAGTTGCAAACAGGGCAAGGGTAAGCGCATCCCCACAATGTGTGCCCAGATGGGCCCAAGAATGTGAGCAGGTGAATAATGTCTGTCATATTTTTATTTTCTAAAAATGAAGGTTGCAGCCACAAATTGAGGAAATAACATTACTGGTACGCCTACGCCCGCACCAATGAGGTATACATGTAGAACTGTGGTTCATCTAAGGTATGTATAAACTGGTAGCATAAGTTCCATAGAAGCCCATGTATCCAGTAATTGGTGGCTCATTGCCATCTACGCATGGAGTAGACAACTAGCGACAAAGAATAAGATATGACTTCACAACCGTAAGCGGTAGCGACGTCATGCATTTGTCCTACATAGCACGAAATTTTTCTCAGTTGCTGACCTTTTACGTGCGATTATAAATACGTGATTTTGCTGCACCTTATGGCTTGCCAATTTTGTGCACAAGAGAAAAGGAAGGCCAGCAAGGAATATTGAGGAAGCAAGGTTGTTTTATTCACCAAAAGCTGTACTCGCAGCATACACTGTAAACTTTGCAGATGAAATTGTGAACAATACCATAATAGTTTGAAAATTCACATTGCCTAATTATAAAAAACCACTGCAGCGAGACAGCAGCTTTGTGAATATCACTTTGGCAGCCGTAGAGTTCAGCGTCTTGTTCCTTAGCGTGTTGCATTCACCGCCACCAAAGTTGAGGGTACGTCAGTTGTGCGCCAGTGAAGGCAGTCGCAAGAGCAGCTATCTACACATTCTGCGAGCTAGTTCAGCTCTGAAATGTCACGCCTTGGAACAGCACATCAGCAAACAAACTGCGGAATGTACACACAAAGCTACCAGTAAAAGTGAGCGATGCCTTGTTGACCTGGCAATGCGCCGAACTAAACCCAAGGCCTGATAGCAGATTGCTGTGATATGCCCAGATTTATCGTACTGGACCAAAAAATGAGGCAATCAACCATTTAGCCAAATGTCAGATAAACCAAAAAGTAAATTTATAGTTTACTTTGACATATAGAAAATTACAACTATTTGGAATGTCTATATAGAGTTTTTGGTGTTGGTTATTTCTTGCCTCCTGACCTAGTCACTGGCGCACTTCAATCGTTGGCTGGCGTTGATGCCCGTGGAAACAGGTTTTCGGCACTTTCTGTTCCAAGTTTTGCGACCCATATAATTTGACCATGGTTCATCTGTATGCGCTGATAAAAAGGAAGAGCCTGGCAGATGACTGGCCGAGTTGAGCACAGTTTGTGGGCATGCGCTCATCCTTGTCCTGTTTGCAACTCCGCTCCGTCATGCGGCGCTGATACGCAGAAAAATCGCTGTTCATGCATTATAGATTTACCCAGCTGTACTTCGCTTTGCTATTAAACCTTTGTTGAAAGTCAGCGCTTTATTTGTTACCTTGGTCAATCTTTGCCTGTTGCGCTGTTCTTATATTAAATCGTGGTTTTGGCTTGTAAAATTAAAGAAATCGCAGTGCACTGGTTGCCAGACGGCGGACTGAATCCGGATTGGTCGTGGGCGTGGACAGCTCATTCGTAGATAATCGCCTGCAGACGCATTCACACGGTGGATGTTGTCCTAGGAGAGAACAGCTAGATTACACTTGACTGCATCCTCTACGCTCACCTGCGCCTGCTACCGGCAGACCTGTTCGAAAGTATTCAAATATGGAGGCCGCAAAAGTGTGAAGCTCACTGTGCTTTGTTGGGCATTGTTGAGGACCTTGCTTTGTATCGTTGAACAGGGTGTTGGCGGAATGGCTTGATGGGAAGAAAAATGTGCTTTACAGATGCCAAAAACGGGGCGGGGCACCGCAGGCGAAGAGAGGGTACAGTGATGCAATGATTTATATACAATTGAACCCTGCTACAACGAAACTGAGGGGGCACGGAAGAAATTTCGTTGAAGCAAAAATTTTGTAGTAGTGAAATCAGAAAAAATGTAGCTGATGTGAGCTAGCAAAACAAAGGAACGTTTATTCTCAAAATTAAAAAAAAATGTCCACTGCTTCCTATTATTTTCCAGCAGCCTCACCGTGATTCTCAACCATGCATAGCAAGGCCATGGGGAAAAGCACGCTGAAACAATACGTAAATCTGCTTTCGTGAACGAACCAAACAGTTGCATTAACACGTTAACACCAGCAGCTGTCTGCCGTCAAAAGTATCCGACAACGCCAAGATGGAGGCAGGGTACCGTGGCGCGGCGACTTTTGTATTATTCTGTGCCATTCTTATCATCTATCACTAGTGGCTAGCTGATTTTGTTCATAATAAGGATGAATAGCCGCTCTGATTAGGTACCACTGGCCAAGCGCGAACAAATGATAAGCATCGGAATCGGAAAAGGCATTGTTCCGCGATTGCATGAACTGAGCAAATGAGCTTCAGCTTCGGATCGTCTGCGGCTCAAAAGCAAGCCAGCAGGGCGGTCTCATTGCCATCGCTATCAAGCAATGGCGGCACCCATGCTTGCTTGCTGAACAGTGGCGGTTTCTGGTGGTGCCAACGCGTATGTTAGACTTCGTTGACCTCGTGTGTGTGGGTGTGTGTTTATATATATATATATATATATATATATATATATATATATATATATATATACTGAGATCTAACAGACAGTAATGCCAAGGAATGTACAGGGGAAGTTATTAGAACCAATGGAATGTAAATAAGAAGAAAGAAAAGTGGATGAAAAAATAACCACCCGTGAGCAGGATGGAGGGAAGGCCGCTGTGGTAGCTCGGTGGTTAGAGCATCGAACGCGTTATTCGAAGGTCGTAGGTTCGTTTCCTTCATATCGGCGTGGCACCGATATGAAGGCTTCAAGCAGCAGTCCTGGGTGGAGTGGAGCTCCAAGCTCATAGCTGCTTTCGGTCGTAATCCTTACCTCTCCACCAACACCCCGTCCAACCTGGCCGGTATCGAGGAGCAAGCTCCAGAGGCTTTCCACCTCGAGGCTGCAGCTGTGCGCTGCAGCTTACCACACGAGAAGTTCCCGAAGCAAGTTCACTGCGGCCAGAGGCCGCTACCGAAGTCAGACCTCTTGAAGGGCGTTGCTCCAACGAAACAGCCCCAGAGAATTATCTCCACTGTGCTGCATTGCCCTTCACCGACGCAACCCCATTCGCACACCGAGCTGAAGTGGAGCAACACCTCGAAGGTTCCTCGGAGCCCTCCAGTCGCACGGCAGAAAGCTTCTCCGCCTGTCCTACGAATGACGTCATACGCAGGTGCGACACGCCACTGCTGCTCTCAGTACCCGCGCCGGTACACGATGCCATCATGTCAGTGGAAGAGGCTGATACGAGTCCTCATACAGCTCAGTTAGAGAAGCCAGCCCCAGTATCACCTTTACTGAGGCAAGTGGAGACACCAGCATCGCCTATGCTTGAACCGCCCTACGGTGATGGTGCCGGTAGAGCCCAAGGTAACCACTGCTGGTGTCACTGACCAAGATCATGAGGAGAAAGTTGGCGCTCAAGATGCAGGCAGCAACCAGTCTCGACCTCCCGATAGACTTGTGGAAGACTCTGGCGCCCAGTTTCAGCGTGGCCAAGGCCGACCTCCGAGGTGCAGCCACTATATCGACCCAAATACCGGGACCAAATCGCGGCTGAGAGCGTTGGCCGCAACGGGGCAGCTAGTGCTGGCCGCCTGAGTCCACAGCACTTTTTTAAAAGATATCGTGGCGTGCAAAAGGGCGACCAGCTCGAGGCAGCCAGCGTCGTCAACCAGAAACTTTGCCGCCAGCTCCGCGCGCGCGCAGTCATGGCCGAGTGTCATGACCAAGAAAGACGCTGGCGCTTCG